GGGTCGGTACGCAACATTCGTGGCTAGAATGTGATACAGACTAAATTAATTCAGACAAATCATCCCAATTTAAGTAATAATTTAATATTACAATTATTCTGAACAGAGTAGTAGTTGAATAGGTAATCTGGTAGTTAGGAAACAGAGAACAGAATCACTCCTCCTGCAATGGGATAGATAAAGTATTAAATAAGAAGACTGTCAGAGTGCCAGTCAGTCCAGAGTCAGTCAGTCCGTCAGCCCACAGTCAGTCGGAGTCCATTCTCCACCTGGCCGGGTCCACGGTACACTTTCACGGTAGCACTCTCATCCTCTCTTTCTCTCCTACACCCTTCAGCTTTACTGTTTTATCCACTGCTTTTCTTAGGCTGTTGCATCAATTTCTGAACTTAGCTTCCCATCTCCAGTTTTAGGAGACAACACCCTGAGATGTACTCAAAAACAGGAAACATCTTGACCAAATCATATAAGCTCATTGTTCAGCTCACATGAACTTAAAGTGAACCCATAAACACTATTCTATTACATAATCCATATTAACATGTAACTTAAACCACAACAGTCCCTCTTTCCGTGGTCCAAAGGCCACGGAACTTTCAAACTCTGCTTCTGTTGTAGTTTGTTTTTTCCAAAGAGGAAAATCAAAATATGTTGGCCTGAGACTTTAACACAACTAAACCCTAACAGCTGTAATTAAACATTAACCTCTTCCTGCATCTAAAGTTAAATCTAAAATAATTGCTTATTACAGAACTAACCACTCAATAAACTTAACCTTAGCAGAGTATTTCCCTCATACTCCACTGAACCATAACTTCATCAAACAACTCATTCACTCAAATTACTAACATCTCACTTAAGGTTGCTAGCGAAGGTTACGCTGTTTCTATCACGTGCAAATCTGGAAAGAGCGATCCATGCTTTTATCATGGAGCGTCTGGACTATTGTAACACTCTTTATGCCGGCCTGTCGCAATCCTCTCTTCAAAAATTGCAATTAGTCCAAAATGCTGCAGCCTGGCTGTTGTCCAACACATCTAAATATGCCCATATCACTCCGGTTCTCCGCTCATTGCACTGGCTTCCAGTGCAGTGGAGAGTGCAATTTAAAGTTTTGTTGTTCGTTTTTAAGGCACTTCACAGACTTGCTCCGCAGTATTTGTCAGAGTTGCTGACTGTGTATACCCCGCGCAGAACGCTGCGATCTGCAGAGCACCTGGCACTGGTGGTTCCACAGTCTCGTTACAAGAAGTGGGGCGACTGATCTTTTGCTGTCCACGGTGCTAGACTCTGGAAT